TGTAGCCGAAAGTACCCATGTGGAGATGATGCTGGCATGATCATAAACTAGCATCCAGTGTAGATGCATGTGCACAAAGTAGGTGTGGTGTGAATTTGTGAGTCTTATAACCCATTCCAAATGACGATATTTCAGCCGGCATTTGATTGTTGGAAAAGTTTTTCCATTAAATTAGAAATTTACAACCTCACTGGGTGGTGCTGGTCATACCACAAGTGAAAGTTCATCTTTATTTTCAGATATACTGCAGCGACATGGAATCGGCCTATCCACAAGAGTACCTTCCCCTCTATCATCACAACTACGCGTCAATTCGTGACTTTGACGAAGTGTAAGCACTGGCAACTTTTCATAACTGGCTCAAAACAAAGTATCTGTTAATACCGTTCCGTACCGCGTACCGTGTCTGATCAAGACGGTTTGTAATCTTCGTTGACACAGAATTCCCACAATGTTGGAGCCACTAAAATGACTTATTCTGCGTCGAGAGTTACATGAAACCTTTGAGTTATGTGTGGATTTATAACCGTCTATTACACATAGTCGTGTAAGATGTGCGGCGTCTATTAAAAATGGGTTAGTGATAGCGATTTTGCCGTTAAGCCCAGCTTCCACACCTAATCGGATTTTGTTCCAAACCTGATCGATCAGCCAACCCTCCATTCCTATCTGGACCACTAGCTAGTGGTTGAGTGGGCGTTAGTTAATTTCCCTGTTCCTTCTCCCTTGATTTCATCGATTTCCGGGGTTCAGTTTGTTTCTAGTTTGGTTTTCATTAACCAAAGACAAATCTTGGCGCACTCCATTCTGATTGGTCGGTTCGAATCCATCGTTGCAGCCTAGCAGATAACTCACATCAATCAAATAACCTTGAAGCTTTGATAATTCACCTCTGCCATTAATCGTCAAGCACTCAATCAACACTCTTTTTGTGTTGCATAAGCGACAGAGACTGTTCAAACGCCGGCGCCTACACCAACGGCAACGTGACAGACTCCCACAACGTCTCCGACGCGTCGTTTGAAATTGAGCACCAAATGAAGCTCGAATTGCCCTCTGACAGCGTCACCGTCTTCAAAAAACTGCGCATCAATCTCAACTCAATGCAAGTAGACAGTAAGTACAAGCGCTGGTACCAGGTATAACTAGCTTCTCCACAAAAAATGGCCGATTTCAAGGCTTTGCAATAGAACGGGTGAATTGGAAAGACTTGAAGATGTTGCACAAAGTACATATATCAGGTTCCAAACAGTGATACCACTTCATCAGCGTGCAGTTAGTGGATGACAGGCCCTGAAGGTTTACAAAATGGTTGAGGTCATTTGTAAGCGGAGTTAATGCAGGCAATCTTGATAATGAAACGCACAGTCTCTAAGACAGCATGCTTCAGATGCGCAACACATAAGCGCGATTGTTTGTGTGTGTGATGGGCCAGCTTTCCTAAATGTATCTTTTTGCGTGTTTTAGTATTCGATGGGAGATTCAGTGACACGTGGGGAAAGCAATTCGTTCCCTATGCATCCGCGAGATCTTGCTCAACGGGCACCTGTCGTCTGGTAAGCGTAACACATGAATTTGCCACTGTGCAGTTGTCGCACAATATTCCACGTTGTTCAATCTTGTACTTAATGCTGATGATGATGCCTTCGCAAGCCTTTTGTTGCCCAAATTTGCGTAAATCAAACTGGACTGCTCTTTGTGGTTAGTCAACGAGCAGAAGACGACCACACACCTTCAGGATTGGAAGGTTTCGTCATGAAGAATGAAACACTTCACGCACATTTAACTGAAGTCAGTCACTGTGACCTGACCCTAGACGAACTCCGGCCATCGTTCGAAGCAGTGTACCTGTTGTCCCGATTTTGAGTAAAATTGTGCAAAACAAGCGTGAATTTCGTGATGCAATGACCAACTGGAGTGCCTGCACCACGTTTTTGGTGGTCTCACATCTCTGCAGCAGACGACAACTCTTTGACCTCTTCTTATTGTAGGGAAAGTTTTTGATAAACCTTGAGGGCACTGGGTTTGCGGTGTCAAGAGAAACCGTGTGGCGCGCTTCTCGATCTCAGGCATTTGGTCACGTGACACGAATTGGGGTGAGTTGAAAAATGTTTTTTTAGACGTAGCCTTAATTACCGACCTCGGGTGTGTATCACTCCGTCAACATTTGTGCTAATTCTTCCCACTCAGGATTCGAAAATCGTCGTTGGCTCCTGTGGAGGTGAATGTGGTGGATGCTGGCCGGATCCCCATTTAAAATTGGAACCTGCTGATAAGCCCCATCGGTGATGCGTCCTCATATCTTCCTTCAAATCCCACTAACGTCCACCACTGCACAGGCATCAAGTGAATTCGACCAATCACAAGTGCGATGTCAACACCGACCAATCCCGTTCCACCTACCTGCCGTAGTAACTATGTACAAATAAGCCATGAGCTCCAAACGGCCCCCACTTATTTGCCCCCTCCCCCCTTCTGACTGTTTATTTTGGGTTTCTATTTTTTTAACTCAGCCAGGAGCGCATCACGTAGACACGTTAATATTAAACGAGAGTCCGTAACCAGTCAAAGTAGTGGAGAACCAAGATTCTTGGTTCACACTCCCTGTCGTCTTTTACAGACACCAGCACGAGCACAAATAGAGACCTAGAACTAGAGTATCACAAACTTCCAATTCCCCTCACAGCCAGTGCCCACGCCTTCTCTAAAGTAGCTTTTTTTGGATAGGCACATCTTCCAATCGCGCTACATGCACACACACACACATAGTTATTTTATATTTCAATCTATGTAAGGAGTATTGTTGTAATTATTGTACGCCTTCCTTCAACTGCTGGTGCCTTTCTATTGTCAGCATTCCTCTTCACCCTAAAAAAAACGAGAGTTGTAGGTTTTCTCAGTGGACCATGCTGCTCCCCAACCCCCCTCTGTCCCGCCGTGTTGACCTGTTGCCGCTTCCTAACCCCCTAACCAACCACACCTTCCCCCATTGCGCGTCTGTCTACAACCGAAACTGCTTCCACCGCCCGCAATTCTCCTCCGGGTGTGCGTAATGCCTTTAGCAATTATAGAGCTAATTCAAGTCTTCCGAGATTGTGCAAATAAACAAGTTTTGTATTTTGTGCGGACCTTCTGCCCTGTTGGATTGGTTGGGCGCAGATTCCTGGAAGTGTTCCAATGTCTTGGCCCGGAGTCATCCGACAACTCATCACCACGCAGAGCATAGTAGACATTGGTACTTTTGCGGAAACATTTCAGTAGACCGTTTTTAATTCGTGAAACTGCCCCGAGATCTGAGAAAGATACCATCATTGCAAAGCGACAGTTGTATCTTAGGCGTGTAGTCACCGAATTTGAAGTGAATCGTGTTGACTCACGTCCATTAATCGAGTTCATACAGTCTGATTCATACTGCTCCCGCTATCAATTGAGCTATTCTGACCAATCAGTTATTTTTACGATATCTAGTTCACTCATTGGTCAATAACCACATTAAGCATGCACTACAGCAAGCCCACGCACCCAACCTAACTTGGCTGAGGTATCTGAGTTGGGTAAGCGAACCAAATTCGACTCCGTGGCCCCGACGAGGTTCACGACCACATGCCGAGGCCATAACAAATTGAACCATTTCGGCAAACGGATGCAAAGCCCCAAGAACAAGTAGTCGGATCCCTCAGCATAGCTTGTCAACCGCTTCCCCGCACTCCCGAACTCAGACAAAACGCCTCCCCAACTAGGACCAAACAAAGCCGCGTCGAGAGAGCGGTTACCGTCTCAACCAAGCGCCAAATGCTCTCACTTCTATAGGGTGAGAGCGGCCTTGAGTGAGAGAAGTAATACACTCAAAAGTAAATGGGCAAATGGGAAGAAAGCGGGGGGTTTGAATGTGAAAGTTGGTGTGCAGTAATATGAGTGGTAATAAATATCTTGAGGATGCTGGATACCAAGTAGAGGGATTCACAAGGACCGAGGTCTGATACCTCAGTGACCCGAAACCTCATATGGATGTCAAATTTGGCGAAATGCACGTCTAGGGGCTTGAGAGCAGCAAAACAAGTTTTTTTTTCAGTTCAGGATTTCGGTAGGCTCATACTGTGGCTCTTATCCACAGGAAACACAGTGCTCATGCGTATGCCTTCAAATTACTGATGAGAGTAGCAGACATAGCAGCCTGTGCTGCTTCAACTTTGAAATGCCAAAGAAGCGCAAGAAGGTCCTCAAACGTAGATGGTCCAGTCTGCAAAACGTCAGGTCTGTATCATGGAAGCACACAAGAATAGGTAGCATACCGGCTACTTCCCGCTGAATAAGAGTCGTCGGCTGAACCCCATACAATAGCATCGTCGAGCGCATTGGAGTTTAACTATTTTCAACCTATCTATCCACGTTGACCTGCCAAACACCTTTGCTTCAAGAGCGGATTCGTGCGGTCTACGCAAATGTGAATTCTCAAATAAAAACTACGCGTTTTACGTGGGTTTTGGTTCGCACGTCAGGGCATAATCTTTTCACCGATGCCAGTGGGTGGTCAGGCGAAATTTAGACTTGGTACTTAGTGAACATTTTGCCTGGGTGGAATACAGCGTGTTGATTAGATGGAATTGAAGTCTACAGAGCGTTGTTTAGTCCCTCAACCAGGTGATTGCAAATGCGGCAGGCGAAAAAAATCTCTAAAGTGGGAACTTTCAGTTTCAGTGGGCTAAGGATATGCTGCCTGGGTAGCTGGCGACCGTAAATGCCAACCGCGTAAAATAAGAAAAGGTCAGCAGTACCACAAAGTGGTTTCACCCAATGAGTGAAATGCAGACAGTAACAAAATTAGAACAAAGCAAGGCTCCACGTAGATGTTAGTCAAATTAATTGGTGAACACCTTCAGTGCATCCGAAACTAAACGAATGACGCCAAAAGTTCGTTTTTGGGTGCGGAACTAAAGTTAGTCCGAAATTAACGAAGTGTTACTTTGAACCGTCATGCCTACGACGTAGTCTGACTGATTTTGATGACATGAAATTATTAGTCAATCGAATCATTCATGTCTGTAGATGGACTTGTCGTCTAGGAACCAGTGGAGACCAAGTTTTCGATAAAGAGCATTATTTGTTAGCAAGGTCAGCTATAGACGACCAAAGAATTATTGGGAATCGCAATGATTCACACCGGTTAATCCGATCACTCTAGCCTCCGACACAAGGTCCCCCTTTTCGCAGCATGTCACCAGCGGCGCGGATCCTCAACTCCCCCCTCATTCACACGGATTATCCCCACACCTAGGTCTCGATGTTCGCGCATTCGTAACTTACACATCCGGGGTATAAATACACACGTGCAAACCCCACACACGACACAACGACGCCAACGTGGTTGAGCTCTGAAGTAAACGGTTGTGTCCACGTCCTCTCCGGTCTTTTTCTTCATCGCGGATATCCAACTCAGTAGCCCCAACGTGGTTCAAGGCCACAAGCTGGGGCCCACAAAAGAATAATAGCCCACAGGGCTCGCTTTGTTCCGGCGTTCGACCCATTCGAAAGCTGTCGATGCATTCAAGCAGAAATCAGGCATTGGAAATCGAATTAATGTGAAGCGAGTGTGCAGATAATTACGAGCGTGGATTTTTGCTTCAAAGAGATCGTAGAATAAGTGAATTTCACGAAGTCCTCACCCCACACTAGCTCCTTATCTCTTGGATCAATTTGCTGTTCGTTGTGGTCACGGTAAGATGCGTAGTTTGAGTTCGTATCATTCACTAATTGGGGCACTTTGACATCGGTAATGAAGACATGAAGGAACGAACACGAAAACATCTCACAAAAGCCATTCTAAGTCGCTATTGCCTAC